ACTGGGACCCAGGGGTCGCCTCCCGCCAAAAATACAGTTTCCCGCCAACAGCACTGCCAACGTGACTCCAATCTCGGGGGTCATCATGACCTTTTTTGTCTCTCGTCCCAGGACCCACCCGACCCACCCATCAGACCCCGCCTCGGAATCACCTATCTCAAAAAATCACGTCTGCAACTGACCTGACTTTGACCCCCCATTTGACCCCTTTCTAATACACCTGTCTCCAAGGTCAACATATCCCCCGAATCCCACATCTCCGCTCTACAAGTACCCACCCCCACTGAGACCCCTGCCCGGACCGGCTGAAGCCCCTCGATCCCTGGGGGAAGCCCTGAAAAAAAAAAAAAAAAAAAAAAAAAAAAAAAAAAAAAAAAAAAAAAAAAGTCCCAAGGCCGCGACCTACTTTCAACCTCATCACATTTTGATTTTTCTCTCCAAACCTGTTCAACCTACTTTTTCGAAAATTTTGCTCCGAGATCCGCTAAAAGTGCCCGATATTTCTACGGACTCGCGCTCTTCTCTGATGCTTAAAGTCGACTGACCTTGACCTATAAGTATATATGGATATTTGAATTTTCCAAGGTCAACCCTTCGACCTACGCAATGTCACCCGGGACCTTTTTTGTAGCCCAGGTCACGACCTATCTTCCCATGACCTTAACTTTGACCTTCGCTTAAGGACTTTTCGAGATATTCCACCTCAAAGTTTGACACTTTGCAAATTTCCGCCCATTTTTCCTCGCGGCCCCGATTTTCTCGACCCGACCTTGAAACGTTTTTATTTTTTTGAAGGTCAAGGACGCTTCCCATCCAAGGTCACGCTTGACCTTTATTGTAGACAATATTACTGCCCTTCTTTTGATGACTTTGACCTCGACCTTGAACATGACCTTGACACATAAAACCTCTTTTTACACCTAAAAAACCCCCTTTTTGACCCCTGACCCCGACCGGACAAAGATCGGCGGTGACAAACCGACCGACAACGTCGCCGACGGGGCCTTGCCACTCGCCGGACCAGATTAAAAGAAAAAAAGCCTGATTGACCCTAACCCTAACCCTAACCCTAACCCTAACCTAACCCTAACCCTAACCCTAACCCTAACCCTAACCCTAACCCTAACCCTAACCCTAACCCTAACCCTAACCCTAACCCTAACCCTAACCCCCTAACCCTAACCCTAACCCTAACCCTAACCCTAACCCTAACCCTAACCCTAACCCTAACCCTAACCCTAACCCTAACCCTAACCCTAACCCTAACCCTAACCCTAACCCTAACCCTAACCCTAACCCTAACCCTAACCCTAACCCCCTAACCCTAACGCCTAACCTAACCCTAACCCGTAACCCCTTCCCTAACCCTAACCCTAACCCTAACCCTAAACCCTAACCCTCTAACCCTAACCCTAACCCTAACCTAACCCTAACCCTAACCCTAACCCTAACCCTAACCCTAAAAGTCCAACCCTAACCCTAACCTACCATCAACCCATCACTCTTTGAACCTCTCCAAACCTGTTCAACCTACTTTTTCGAAAATTTTGCTCCGAGATCCGCTAAAAGTGCCCTACTCTATTTCCTACGGACTCGCGCTCTTCTCTGATGCGTAAAGTCGACTGACCTTGACCTATAAGTATATATGGATATTTGAATTTTCCAAGGTCAACCCTTCGACCTACGCAATGTCACCCTGGACCTTTTTTGTAGCCCAGGTCACTACCTATCTTCCCATGACCTTAACTTTGACCTTCGCTTAAGGACTTTTCGAGATATTCCACCTCAAAGTTTGACACTTTGCAAATTTACCGCCCATTTTTAACGTGAACCCGACTCGACCTCACCTTAAACCGTTTTTTTATTTTTTTTTAGAAGGTCAAGGACGCTTCCCCAATCCAAGGTCACGCTATACATTGTAGACAATAACCCTAACGTGCCTTTCTTTTGATGAACCTGACCTCGACCTTGAACCCGAAAAATTGACACCCTAAAAACCACTTTTTACACCTAAAAAACCCCCTTTTTGACCCCTGACCCCTAACCCTAACCGGACAAAGATCGGGCGGTACACAACCGACCCTAACAACCGTCGCCGACTAACCCCTTATTCCACTCGCCCTAACCCTATTAAAAGAAAAAAAGCCTGACTATCTACTAAACCCTAACCCTAACCCTACCCTAACCCTAACCCAACCCTAACCCTAACCCTAACCCTAACCCTAACCCCCTAACCCTAACAACCCTAACCCTAACCCTAACCCCAATCTCCCTAACCATCATGACCCTAACCCTCTCCTAACCCTAACCCCCACCCTAACCCCCCCACCCTAACCCTAACCCTAACCCTAACCCTAAAAATCCTAACCCTAACCCTAACCCCCAACCCCTTTCCCTAACCCTAACCCCGAGGTCAACATATAACCCGAACCCAACCCTAACCCTAACCCTAACCCTAACCCTAACCCTAACCCTAACCCTAACCCTAACCCTAACCCTAACCCTAACCCTAACCCTAACCCTAACCCTAACCCTAACCCTAACCCTAACCCTAATGAGTCCCAAGGCCGCGACCTACTTTCAACCTCATCACATTTTGATTTTTCTCTCCAAACCTGTTCAACCTACTTTTTCGAAAATTTTGCTCCGAGATCCGCTAAAAGTGCCCGATATTTCGACGGACTCGCGCTCTTCTCTGATGCTTAAAGTCGACTGACCTTGACCTATAAGTATATATGGATATTTGAATTTTCCAAGGTCAACCCTTCGACCTACGCAATGTCACCCTGGACCTTTTTTGTAGCCCAGGTCACGACCTATCTTCCCATGACCTTAACTTTGACCTTCGCTTAAGGACTTTTCGAGATATTCCACCTCAAAGTTTGACACTTTGCAAATTTCCGCCCATTTTTCCTCGCGGCCCCGATTTTCTCGACCCGACCTTGAAACGTTTTTATTTTTTTGAAGGTCAAGGACGCTTCCCATCCAAGGTCACGCTTGACCTTTATTGTAGACAATATTACTGCCCTTCTTTTTATGACCTTGACCTCGACCTTGAACATGACCTTGACACATAAAACCTCTTTTTACACCTAAAAAACCCCTTTTTTGACCCCTGACCCCGACCGGACAAAGATCGGCGGTGACAAACCGACCGGCAACGTCGCCGACGGGGCCTTGCCACTCGCCGGACCAGATTAAAAGAAAAAAAGCCTGATTGACCCTAACCCTCATATCCCCAGACTCGCACACTTCTCCTCTACAACATCCAACCCTCAGATCCACACTAAGACCCATCCCCGGACCGGCAGAACCCCCACTATCTAGGGACCTCAACAACAAAAAAGTCCCAAGGCCAGGACCTACTTATGACCTACATCACTTTTTGAATTTTCTCACAAAACCTGTTCATCCTACTTTTTCGAAAATTTTGCTCCGAGATCTGCTAAAAGTGCCTGATTTTTGGACGGACTTGAGCTCTTCTCGTTGTCATAGAGACGACTGACCTTGACCTGGAAGTTCATACGCATTTTTGAATTTTTGAAGGTCAACACTTTTTCATGTCCTTGGTACACTTTATTGCTTGGTACAGTTTTTTTACGCGGTGGCGCCTGGCTGGCTGACTACTCCTCCTCACAATTACATTTAGGCGACAAAATGTCACGAAACGTGACTCGGAGGTCAGGGGTCGACATGACATTTTTTCTTTCCCGTGCCACGACCCACCCTTCAAACCCAACCTCCGACCCATACATCTCCCAAAATAACCTTCACCCCCATTCCTGCTGCTGACTTTTCCCGATTTTTCTTGCAAACAGTCCCTCAAATTGGTTTCTGCGTCGCTGTTGCCATGGTTACCCGTGACCGTGTCCCTTATGTCCTAATGATTTTTTTTACAAGGTCAACAGCTCGACCTAGCCAAGGTCACAATTGGCCTTTTTTTTGTAGCCGAGGTCAAGGTCTATCCAGCCGGGACGTTTACTTTTGACTTTTGCTTGAACATTTTTTTTTTTTCAAAAAAGCTTTTGAAATTTTTTTTTTCTTTTTAAGGTTGTTGTCGCGCTTTTTCTCCTTGATATACTTGATTTCAAATTTTGGCGCCAAAATGTCCCGAACTTGGCCTTGCTCATGACCTCAGTTGTTCCCAGTGTCACGGTGCATCCCATGATGCCACAGGATTCTCATTGCGACGTGGCACAGGCATTCACTGATAAGCACCGTGGCCCGGTATCAAGGTCACGGAGATGTTTCACTCGTGGGGTTAACCTGTCAACTTATATTTCATATCTCGAAGCACGTGTACCCGCAAAATTCAAATCGGACAACGTGGCTACCGCCAAAAGTTATTTGAAAATTCTGACTTTTGTCCTTGGTAAATTGTTTTCCTTGGTACACTTTTTTTGGGTATAATTTATTTCAAATTTTTAGCACTAAAACGTCATAAACGTGGTCGGCGGTCATGACCTTTGTTGTTCACGGTGCATACCATGACACGGGATTCTCCTTGCAGTGTGACCTTGACCTTGGTGTTTGCTGAAAACACTGTAGCCTCGTGTCAAGGTCACGGAGATTATTTATTTTCGAGTTTTACCAATAAACCAGTAGCGCCTATCTCGGAGCACGTAGCACTACCCGTGAGATTTGAATCGGGCCATCACGTGAAGGGAGACAACACTCCCGCCAAAAGTTGTTTAAAAATTCCGCCTCGTCGCGGATAGAGTTTGGTCAGTGGTACACTTTTTTCAAGCTTGGTACACTTGTTTATGTCCTTGGTACACTTTTTTTTAAAACTTGACAACACAGGCAACTTTCAAGACCTCAGTGATTCTCAAAATTCCCTTCAAACAGCGCAATGACTACTACTTCTAGTTTTGTCATCATTTGGTGACTGTTGCTCAGCATGGACACACATACAACAAATGCTCAAAATGCATACAACAAATGCTCAATATGCATAAATCAGTGACTATGAATAATGCAGATACTCGTATAATGTTTAATTATAGTTTATTTTTTGTGTCTGTCCCCTCCTGCACCGGTCCTCTTGGAGGTGGCCGTCTGATTTCTTCAAACACTGTAGGCCCTTGTTGCATGGGTTCCCTTCCTATAGGAGTCCACTCTTCACCACTGATTCCAGCCTAGAACCAGAATATATTTAAAAAAAAAAAATCAGCATTGTCTAGCTCCAAGTCTTGAATGACAATCTGAACACTCCATAAGCACAAAACATTCTGGTACATTCCGTGATGCCAGCATAATTTACAGAAAGCACATCCTCAGCATTTTCGGTTACCACGATGTGTTTCCTACACCAAAAAAATTTAAACATAGATTGACGGAGTCTGTTGTGCCCAGTCTTTAGTCTGAATATAATACACTGGCTGTCAGAGTGGTTTTCTAGAATGGATTTGTAGCAGTCCATGTGTTGGGGTCGGCGAAGTTGCGACAATGGTTGACGGGGTGTCTTGAAGTTTTACAGCAGGTGCTGTGGTAACTTTGTGTGTTGACCAATGTGGAGTTGTGATGGGGAGGTATCGGGAATTGCTGGTCGGCGGAGGCTGGATTCCCTTAGTTATACGGACAGCCGTGATTAAGCAGATAAGTAATACGAGTGACTGGAGGTCTAGATTCTTGTCACCAAGTGGTGCATCTAGCTTGGGCCCTCAGGTGGCAGAGTCTCTTAGAGGAAGAGACATCAAAGGAATGTTACTGTACACCACACAGGTGTTGCTCGATCAGGCGGTGGGTCGCCTGTAGCAGTCACCTGTATATAGTTTGCTGGGGTGTTTTAATCCAAACAAACAAACTTTATTTTAAATGTCTGGAAAGACTGCGGATGTAAGTGTATTTAGCGGGTGGTAGACAGTGAGTCATTGATCACCAATTCATCATTTAGCAGGTGGTAGACAGTGAGTCATTGATCACCAATTCATCATTTAGCAGGTGGTAGACAGTGAGTCATTGATCACCAATTCATCATTTAGCAGGTGGTAGACAGTGAGTCATTGATCACCAATTCATCATTTAGCAGGTGGTAGACAGTAAGTCATTGATCACCAATTCATCATTTAGCAGGTGGTAGACAGTGAGTCATTGATCACCAATTCATCATTTAGCAGGTGGTAGACAGTAAGTCATTGATCACCAATTCATCATTTAGCAGGTGGTAGACAGTGAGTCATTGATCACCAATTCATCATCGCCGCAATGTCTTCATCCACAATAAAGTTCCCGACTGCACTATAAGATCATAACTGGTGCAGTGTATTGTATTAGTGTTTTTAGAAAGTGTTAGTGGTTGCGATAGGTCATGTAACCTGTGCCAGATATACTGCGGCTGTTAACTTGTTACATGTATTTGTTTAGACTTATTGTGGTGCTCCTGTTTGGGTTGGCCTTTCTTTACTCCAGTAACAATCACTATTAGCATGTGCCATGCCAATAAGAGTGGTCAGCTATGGTTTGTCCTCTGAGGAAATCCTGTGAGTGTGGAGGACTGAAATCCCCACAACACTTAGCAAGTGTGTGATACATCCCCTTATCACATACGTCACCGTAGGTGCTCAATTTTCAAAATGAACAAAGTAATTACGATGAAACATGTCTGTTTTGTTCTTCTCAATAATCTAAAGCACATGTTGCTTTTACCTTTGCATTAATATGTCCATTCTTCGACACTGAATGAAAGAATGGCCTGAGCTAAAAACTTCTCCAAGCATCAGCTATCAGCTATTCACAAGTATTTTTGCATAAGAGACTTTCTCCACCAACGATTCAACATAATTTAAAGAGATAGCCTCAAAAGATATGCTGACTGTTTAGCTATTCAGCCAGTAAAACAGAGAGGGTCCCATGAGAGTAGTGTAAAAAAAAAAAGTCAGTGTTCCTTGTGGTTTACATAAGTGACATTACTAAATGTTTTCACCAGTGGGTGTCCAACAGCATAAATGAACAAGAACTGCACAGATAGTAAACATTGCAGCTCCTCCTCTGAGTAGGTGGTTATTGCTGCATCATCTGCAAACAGCAGCTCTCTGATGAGTATAGTACCTTTCTTATCCTTCAGCCTACAAGCATTGTAAAGGCTGCCATTAGATCAAGAATGAATGAATATATCACCCTCCTGATCTCCAAAGGGATGTGTCAAAAGAAGTGAAAAGTATATTCCAAAGAGGGTAGCAGCAAGTACACACCCCTGCTTCACTCCATTTTTGATTACAAACTCCTCTGATGTTTTACCATCAAAATTGATTGTACCTTTCATACCTGTGTTATATAATATAAACCTGAACAATGTGATGTAATATAATAATTTTCACTTACCGCCAGATAAATACAGCCGGTTGTCATATAACAGACTGCACCAAGAAGCGTTGGAAGGATGAAACAACAGGGAACGCTGATGCTGGAAACAGAAAATATTGGGAAAAAAAAAACAGGACTGGACACAGAATACAGCATCTTAATTTAACAATTTCCATTTTCGCACAGATGATCTTTGATATCTTCTTTTTCATGTTGCTGGTGAGGACAGTCATTCCTCTGCTCTCTGTCACTTCCTATGTGGCCTTTAACCAGCCTCCCATATATATTCCAGTCACAATGCCATGTTGGTCAACACACACAAAGTTCCCCAGCACCTTCTGTGCACTTGTAAGGACACCCCGTCAACCAGCGTAGCACATAGCCATAATTCTGCCAACCACACAAACATGGCCCACACAAGTCTATTCTAGATATCACAATGAGAGAATTCCGAAAGTCTAACTCATAATCCACCACAGTCATCCAGACAGTTCACATTAGCTCCACAGAAAAAATATTGCTTAAACTGTGTCACGATATAGTCCCCAGAATTTGAACAATTTGCGCACATGTCCATAAACTTAAACTGACTGACTGATTGAAGCTACCAAGGGATTTTTCTCACCTGCGGACAACTCCTCATGGATTTCACACATGGACTTTTGCACACAACAGCTCACAACCCCCCCCCCCCTCCCCTCCCTAGCAAACAGGCCCAAAAACCTGCTTGTTTGTATGAGACAAGATAAGATCCCTGTTGTTGTTCCCTAACTGCAATAATTGCAATTAACATTCTGTCAACTGTCTTTTCTCATGAATGATGAATGTGCAAGACATTCAGTCAACATGATCAATAAATACCATATTTTATAAAGGCGTACTTATAATAACACAATAAAAACAAATGTCAATAATAGAGATCAGCATCATATGCATAATTTGATGTCAATTTGTTGCAGACTTCCATACACTATCTCTGCACACAGACAGACTATCTGTCCATACACTATCTCTGTTCATTCACTATCTATCCATACACTATATGTGAAACTTCCATACACTATCTCTGCATACAGACTATCTGTCCATACACTATCTCTGTTCATAAACTATCTATCCATACACTATCTGTGAACATACATTATCGCTGTCCAAACGCTACCTATCAATACACTATCTCTGTCCAAACTTTATCTGTCTATACACTACCTGTCCATACATTATCTCTGTCCAAACGTTAATTGTCTATATACTACCTGTCCATACACTATATCTGTAAATACACTACCTATCCCTACAATAACTCTATCCGTACACTATCTGTCCATACACTAACTCTGTCCATACACTATCTCTGTCCATAAACTATCTCTGTCCATATACTATCTCTGTCCATTTAACCACCCTCACCTGGATCTACACTCCTTGTCATGCTGGTGTAAAGGGTAGTGAGCCAGCGGACCAACTGGCAAACACTGCACCAATGCATGTGGGAAGAAGCATGGACAGAGCAGATATCAACTGTATGTACTGGTCTAGTGGACAGGAACGAATCTCTGACACAAACAGGATTGTGTGATATGGGAGTAAAGCATGGTGAAGCACATCTAAGCTGCCTTCTAGGCCAAGATAGGAGATATTACAACCAACCTCTCATGGGAACAGTTAGCAGAAGTATCTTGGAGTGAAGACTTTCGGTTCAATGGCGACAGACAGTCGTGTTTTTCGTAGCTTCTTCATTTTCACTTGAATATGGATGTTTTACATCCTTTACGTGTAATGTTTTGTGCCGAGATGTAATCAGAAGTTTTCCTTTTTCCTCAAGATGTTTGCCACTGCTACGGAGTTCGTGCATCTGAGCGATACCATCCTTGAGTTGATCTTTTTAGCATGTGTAGTTACCGATCGTGTAAGGTGTTTGGTTTTTAATAATGGCAGAACAGGGTTTGTGTCTCTTTCACAAAACAAACAAGCCTCGAAGTCATGGTCGAAGGCGGAAAAGGCAAGGTAGGTATACGTGCTGGGGCTAGGAGAACATGGCTCACATACGTCCACCTAGGCCTCAACAAAATTCGTATACTTTATTGGAATTGTGCTAGCACAAAGCAACGTGGACCCATTCTAGTCCGCCTAGTTTACAGCAACAATATTATTTGCCCTACAGGAAACACGACTTGGTGATAACACGCTACACATGGTCAGTTTCAACTCTTTTTACAACAGGCAACACCTGGGACTAGCCGTCCTTGTTTGAGATGGTGTAGTGGCTTCAGAGGTGGACATGTCTAGGTGGGACAGCGACGAGATACAATTAAGACGATCAGAGTTCAGTCTGAACAGTCTTTTGTGTTGGTGAATGTTTATGCCTGCAACCCGAGCATGGACTTCCAGAGGTGGCAGTGTTAAAGTGAAATAATATCTCATGAAAGAAATGTCATTTTCTGTGGAGATTTCAAGGCGAAAGGCAGATCATGGGGAAACATTTCACCCAACACACAGGTGGAAGAGCTCCAGGCAGTGTCATGAGGATAGCAAGTAGACCAGGTGACGAAGACAGTGTTATAGATCTGGCCATGGTTTCTCCTTCACAGTGTGTCAATGGGGTGAACTAGGGTATGATGTCCATGACCACCACCCCTGCAGCATAGTGAGCGAGAAAGGCAGATCTAAGAAATACAAGTCAAAGGTCAAGACATTTATGTATGACAGTACAGGACAGGATATGCTTGGTAAAATAAGGTGCGAAAAGCGCTAAAAACAAAATGGGTGAGATGCTAATATACTTTTCGTTCGGGTTTATATCTTTTCTTGATAAAAACAAAATGGCAAGAAGAAGAAGAAGAAGAGTTGGGAGCAACCCTCTTGGTGGAACTGTGAGGTGGAAAAAGCCTGGGCAAATAAGCGTGGTGCTGTGAGAAGATGGCAAAATGCCAAATGCAACAGAGTCGCCCAGCCTGGTCATATTTTGAGCCTGCAAAGAGACATGGACTTAAAAGTCGGCTCCTTTAAAAAAACTAGTTACTGAGGTTAAACCTGAGAAGTGGTCAGATGTTTGTCACAGAATAAGCAGAGATAAATCACTGAAGCTGTTCTGGTGACTACATAAAGTATGAACGGTGCCCAGACAAATAAGAGCATCCCTGATTTCCAGTGCTCTGACCTCACCTGGCAGAGGTCCGACGAAAATAAGGGCAAGGTGCTATAAGAACACTTTCTGCAGCAGAGCAGCCAGACCGATATGTCAGGACGCAGTTTTGCCAAAGCTATTACCTCTGATAGGTGTAAGTCACAGACGTTGGCAGACGGTGATATAGTGACAGTGGATGAGATCAAGGCTGTGCTATGACGAACAAATAATTGTGCACCAGGTCTAGATGGTATAAGATATGATGACATTAGTAGGGGTGGTGAAGATGAGCTGAAAGAGCTAGCAGACACGTACAACAATAGTATTGCGAGTGCTAGTATCAGTGAAGAGGGGTCACACATTTATCTGATACCCCAGCCAAAACCTGGTAAAGATCACACACAAATTCAGGGTTATCCGATAATCACTATGCAAAATGCTGTAGGTAAGCTGTTAGAAAAGATAATCGCCAGAAAAATTTTACACAAGCTTGAGAGGCAAGGTCTTCTTCCAAATACCCTTGGGGGTACCGTCCAAAGAAAGAAACATGGACCAATGCTGCAATTTTTGCTCATGATATGTATGAAGGCTTCCACTCAGGTATTGAAGCGTGTGCTGTGGCAATTGATCTCAAGAATGCGTACTACAGAGTCCCTTTGGATTTCTTAATGTCTCAGCTTTTTGAACTGCAGAGAAGTTTGTTTCTGCTTCATTGGATCTCTTCGGCCCTCTTCCAATGAAAAGTAGAGTTTAGATGTGGCAGTTGGACTTTTCAACCAACAACAATACATCCCGGCCTGCCACAACGATCGCCATTATTCCCTGTGTTGTTCAACATTTACACAGTGAGAATCACAGGCAAGCAAATCACAGGACCCAGAAGAACACTGTCATATGCTGACAATGTGTTAGTGTATCGTCAGGGTAAGGGTAGAGAGAAGGTTGCTGAAGAACTACAAAAAGAACTCAATCGCATAAGCACTTGGTGTGGTGAAGCTGGTGCACTGGTCAACCCAACGAAGGCGGCAGTGACATGATTCTCTTTGAATAACCATATTGTGAAAACTACAACACCAGTTCTTAGTCTGTGTTCTGAGGTTGTGGAAAGAAGGAATGCAATGAAATACCTGGGGATAAATTTTGATTGAAGCCTTGCTAATACTGAGCACATAGATCAGATTATAATGAAAGCCAAGGGGGGGTCTGGCTGCGATGAGAGTGATGGCGGTGGCAAACTGTGAGCAGCGTCATCTATGTCTTCTATACCAGGGTCTGGTCCTTTCTGTTTTTGAATACGCGATGGCCATATGCAGATGGAAAGGATGGAAAGGATACAGAACAAGGCAATGCGCATTATACTTGGGTGTACAAGAGATACAGCATGCAGGGCTATGCACTATTTTCTAGATTTTCCAACCATGGAAGACAATACAAAATTTCCCGAGCTTGTCCTGACCTCACAGTAAAGGCGGACACTCAATATCCATTGCATAGTCAAATCAAGAAGATAAAAGGCAGCATGTTAAAAAGAGGCAAATCGTGGATGGGTCAAGCAGAGGACATTATTTTACAGGTATGTTCACTTGAGGACCTAGAACTGGCGAGGAGTGGGTGCAAGTGCCTTCAGAGTGCTGTACATCTTTTTTATGTTTGCATCCAACTAGACAGAAAATGCAGACAACAGAGTGATGCTGCTGTTGAAGCAGAAGTTCAAGCCTTGATTTTCGAGAATGCTCAAGAGAGTGATGCTGTCATTTACACAGATGCCAGGTTAGAAGTTCGTGGACTTTCACGGCTCAGTTTGGAAGGAGAGTTGTGAAGGAAGATTCTGGAGCTTTTGCCATAACTACAAGTAGTCTGACTATGTAGGTCATGGCTGTGACTAAAGCAGTAACAGACTTTCACTGGGGCATGCTTTCTCAGTGACTCGATGATTATGCTCAGTAAGATAAAGAAGGGCTGGGTCCGAAGGCAGTAGTTGGTGGCTCTACAGAATTCACGGCTGACAACAATTAGTTTCATTTTCGTGCCAGGACATGTGGGGGTACAAGGAAATGATCAAGCTGATAAGCTTGCAGTTTAGGCTACTGTGAAAGCCGGACAAACCATGGACCAGGCTGATATATTGAATGCTCTAAAAGAGTTTAGACGTTTACACGAACAAACTGAGAACTGTAAATCTGAAACCATGGTCAGACTGCAAGAACATGTCAAACGGGGTGTCGCCAAATAAGAACACTACGTGGGTAGCCAAAGAAGAATAATAAACTAATACAGAACTGGTGTTGTTAGCCGCTACACGCTGCAGGATTTACTGAGGAGGGGATCCAAGCACTTAAGGACTGAGTGGTTCAACGTGCAATGAGGATAATCTGTTTACTAATTAACTAACTAGCCTTGGAGTGGCTACTGCATCTGTGGACTGAGCATGCATGGTAATGCCCAATGTGCAATTACGTCAATTGTGATAACATAACTATCTGACCATACATGCTATCTGTCCACACACTGTCTGTCCTTAAACTATCTATCCATACACTACATCTGTCCAGACACGATCTGTCAATAATGTATGCACACACTATCTCTGTCCATATACTGTCAGTCCAAACACTATCAGAACTGTTACTTCCATGAGGTACACAATCAACCAGAGAATAGGATTGCTACTTACATGAGGTATACAATAAAACGGACCAGATAGCTCCGAGTTAACAACCTGCCCTTGCTGACAACCACACTGAGTGGGAATTGAAACCTTTTTGTGTGCAGAGATATGCAATATAATTTCTTTAACTTTGACAATAACAAAACAAAACATAAAAACAAAAATGGTGTTCAGTAACTTCAGTAAAAACGAAAGCATCTTAATGACAATGAAAACATCATAAATTGTAAGTGATTGACATAAAAGTACTAGTTAGTGAATGACATAACACTACTAGTTAGTGACTAACTTAACACTACGATTTAGTCACTGATGTAATGTTACAGGTGTGAACCCATAAGTGTTCTACTTCTAACTCAAGCCTGAGTCTAAAGAATATCAGAGCAGTGCACAAACTCCACTTCACCGGCAATGATCCCGAAATACCTTGCAGTAGATTTTTAACTCCAAATTTAGCCCGGGCAGTGTCATTAGGCTACTCTTTTTTATTTCCAACTTCCAAGGTATTTTTTACCTGCGAAACAATACACGTCCAGTCTTACTACCCAGCAAGTGACTGACATAACAGAACCAGCAAGTGACTGACATAACAGAACCAGCAAGTGACTGACATAACAGAACCAGCAAGTGACTGACATAACAGAACCAGCAAGTGACTGACATAACAGAACCAGTAAGTAACTCACATAACAGAACCAGTAAATGACTGAAAAATTATGATAGCGACAGATACAACATAACTTGTCAGTTGTTGTAGAATTGCTGTTTACACTTATGGATCCCAGGGGGATATATTCCTCCGCCCTATAGTGAGTACAGGAAGTGATAGTTATCCTCTCTACTAAAGGGACAGGGGTAATAACCTCAGATGCTAGTGTCAGTAAAATGTTCATGGCGGTGAGAAAGACACAGATTAACGAACCTAGGTAAACCAATTTAACAAAGCAGAAAAGCAGAATAGAATTAGGGCAAAATGCCAGTGTTGAATATAGCTTGTGAAGGGATACATTGGGCGCGTCTGTTACATAGGCAGATGATATCAATGATCTCACGTCTTTCTTAGTGACTAAACGAGGAGCTTTTTAAAATTGTCCACATTCTTTTGTTCCGGAAACAGATATCCTTCTGAAATTGTGTGTCCCAAAAGCTCTAGCCGAGAATAAGCCAACTTATTTTGGAAGGTCTGGCTGTTAACTGTGTTTCTTTCAACCTTTGGATTAATTTATCCAGTGACAAAATATGCTGCTCAGGTGTCTCTGAAGCCATTAATTTATCCATGATATTACATACAGTATCTTCTTTCAGTGGACTTAATAGCATCCTCATCATCTTCCTTCATTCTCATTCCCTTTCTGATGTGCCCCCTCCACACAACACGGTCTATGGCACTTTGTTTCCACAGTCTACCTCAATACCTGCATCATTCATGTCCCACCTGCACATGTCTTTATATTGTAGTAGAGATTGGCCTCATCATCTTTTACCCATCTTTAATTCACCACAAAGGATCTCCTTAGGGACTCTGCCATCCTCCATTCTCCAGGTGTGACCCAGCCAACTGAGCCTTCGTTGACTGAGCATTGAGAAGACTGTTATAGTACCTGCTCTTTCCAGTACCTCAGTGTTTGTGATCTTGTCCTGTCACTTAATGCTAAGTATTCTTCTTAGGCATCCCATGTGAAAGCTATTTAGCCCTCTCTCCTGGTGCAAATAAATTGACCAAATTCACTGCCATAAAGCAGAGTGCTGAGAACACAAGCCTATTAGACAAGAGTTTTTGTTTTACTCATGAGCTTTCTGTTACTTTTGCTGCCTTACCTATCCTGATGTTGATTTCTTGATCCAGCGACAGTTTGTTATTCATTGTGGAACCCAGGTAGATAAAATGGTCAACTGTCTCCAGCTCTTCACTGTCAATGTAGACTACAGGTCTATCAATAACACCTTGCACCATAACCTTTGTCTTCTTTTTGCTGATCGTTAGTCCAAATTCATAGCATGCATCAGCAAATGCAGAGAATAAAAATTGTAGCTCCTCCTCTGAGTAGTTGGTCATTGCTGCATCATCTGCAAAGAAGCAGCTCTCTGATAGTACCTATCTTATCCTGGTTCTATCCTTCAGCCTACGAGCATTGTAAAGGCTGGCGTCGATTGAGAATGGATTAACATTCCACCATCCTGACCTCGAAAGGCATGTTCCAAAAGAAGTTAGAAGTATATTCCAAAGAGGATAACAGCAAGTACACATCCCTGCTTTACCCTGTTGTTGATTAAAAACTCCTCCGATGTTACACCATCAAAGTTGATTGTACCTTTCATACCTGTGTGGAACGATTCAACAATGCTCAGTAGGGCAGGTGGAAACCCAATCTTTTTTCAATGCTGAACAGACCTTTTTGACTAACCAAATCAAATGGCTTGGTAAGATCAATAAAAGCAACATACAGTGGTTGATTTTGTTCACAGCATTTTTTCTGCATCTGTCGTAATGAAAATATCATATCAGTGGTAGACCAGTTCCCATGAAAGCCACACTGGGACTCTGGGTAAACACGGTCCCTCAGGATCTGGAGTCTTCACAGAACAATTCTCACAAGTACTTTCCCAACAGTACACAGCAGTGATATTCCCCTGCTATGAAGCTGAAACTAGGATTACCAGATTACCAGATTCCCCTGTAGTTATTGCAGTCACTTCGATCACTCTTGTTTTTGTAGTTATGATGCTTAAGTCTTTGAAGTCTTGCGGAACCTGTCCCTCTCGCCAGCAGAGTGTTATTAGCTGATGAATATGTGGGGTTAAAATGCCTTTCCCACTCCTGATGATCTCAATAGGAATTCCATCACTGCCTGGGGTTTTCCCCAAAGCCAGCTCAACAATAGCATTCCTAAATTCCACAATTGTTGGAAATGCTTCCAGATGGTCAAGAGTTGGTAGCGTATTGACTGCATTAACTCTTTGATTCCCAGGGGGTTTAGCATCACAGGCCCGGGGGTAGTAAAGAGAGTCATAAAATTGGCGTATCCTGCGTTCATTGGGCTTCTAGGTAGGAACCTATGAACGTATGATGCGTTCCTTGGGACTCAAAAAGTTAAAGGCACCATCTGTTACTTTAATATCAACTGAATTCAGCTCCAGATAATGTTCCATCCATCTATTTAGCTGCTTCTCCATGTCATTAATAATCTCCCCATTCAAATTCTTTAGTGGTGCACTTTTTAAAATAGTTGGGCTAATGGCCTTCTTTATTCCCCCATACATGCCTCTAAAATTACCACTACTGCTAGCACTTTGAATGCTTTCAAATAACTGGATCCAGTAGTTGTTGGCACACTGCCTAGCTACCTTTTGCAAATTATTTCTAGCTCTTCTCAATTCATTGAGGGTGCTTCTTGTTGTTCTTTCCTTGTCTCTGAGGAGTATTAACTTGTTTCAATCAATTAAGGGTTGGAGTGTCTGCTCTTAGCTTCAAACCTGTGCTTACTTTTATGTTCTCTAATACCATAGACTGATGCAGCTGTTTTGTAGACAATCTCCTTAATTACATCCCATTATAGGCTTGCTGTAGAGTTATCCTGGATATCAGTGAAGGCATCTCCGAGCTGTTGCTGGAACTCAAAACATTTTTCACAGTCTTTAGTGTTGGAACTATTTAACCTGGGGATATATTTGTTTTTTTCAAGTGAAAATTCTTTTTGGTTTCATTCGAACTATTGCAGCAATTAGGCAATGGTCAGTATCACAGCACTGTGGTAGCTGCAAGTTAATGACACATAGTTCAAGTACTGCCTTTTAGTAAGTTCATTCATGTGGCCAACATTATATTTTACAAGGCAAACTGGCCATGAGTTTGAGTCCGACTCCATGCGGGCATCAAGATCACCAAGAATGTAGATGCTGTCAGATTTAGGAATTGCTTTCACTGCATTATCCAGTGCCTCATAAAAAGAATTCTTTGTGTCCTCCATTGATGTTAGAATGGAGTATATATGCAGTAACAAGGGTGATAACAACCGCTTGAGGTAGACAATTGTAGGGAATATAATCTGCCATTTCCTCCAGCTGGGCACTCAACTGATCTCAACAGTGAATTCTTTACTGCAAATCCCAGTCCATACTTCCAGATTTCTTCCTGGCCTCTGTCTTTCCAGAAGAATGTGTAATTATTTTCTCTAATGACCCATCCTCTGGCAGACGTGTTTCCTGAAGGCCAGCAACATCTATGTCAAGTTTACTGAGTTCGGCATCGATGATAGCCATTTTTCTCACATCACTAATGTCCTGCCATAAATTAAAATTTGTAGGTTACATTTCCTTTTCCTAGGATAAGGCTAGTATCCTCCCCAATGCGCTTCACCGCCTGAAGCTGTTGGCACAATTTGGGATGTCAGGTTTGGTGTACACCGCCCAACATTCGGCTTAACAGAAGATAGGTGGTACCAGCTACTGTTATACGGCAGCTCAGTCATATCTGACCAAGACATGACAGCATTAACCTTCCTGTATCTCACCATACAAGATTATTTTTGGGAGCCAAAGGTCTGTCATTAAGATGACGCGACCTGCCCATCGAATCTCTGACTACATCCAGATGGTATTGATGCTGAGAATGCCAGCTCTATCCAATATGACAGTATCCGGGACCACGTTTTGCCACTTGATTTTCAGTATTTTTCTTAGACTGCATAGAAGTGGTTGAGCTTCTTTGCATGATATCTGTATATAGTCTAAGTTTCACAAGCATACAGCAGCATTGAAAGCATTGCAGCTCTGTATACCTTCAGTTGTGGCGGCGTCCGTGGCTAAGGCGTTGCGAGTCCGACTCGTAAGCCAGCATACTGCGATCGAAACCCACTGCAGGCTGCGTGGATTTTTGTCGTGGTATGGGACGTCGCAGGTCGACCCAGCCTAAAATGGGTACCAGGATGGGCTGTCCTGGGAAAGTAAAGACAGCCGGCGTAATGCTGACCACATTACCCACAGAGTGCTGATGGTCTGTAAAAATATGGGACGCTCTGCCCATATGCCCAATGCGCCGAAAGGCGTGAAAAGGGAACTTTACTCTACTTATACCTTCAGTTTGCAAAATAATACCACTCTGATGCGAGACATTGGTGTATAGTCTGCGAAATGTGAAGCTGGCTTTAGAGATGCTGGTATTTACCTCATCATTGTTGGTGAAATTTTGAGACAGTTTACCACCAAGGTAAGTGAATCTATCTACAACCCTTTAATTTCTGCCATTTATGAAAATGGTCAGCTCAGTATTTACTTTGCCAGGTGCAAGCTGGTACATGATTTCAATTTTATCAGTGTTATCACTTAAAACATCATGTATTCATTTGAACATACCTAGTACAAAAGGAAGAATCCCAGCACTTCCCAATCGCATACAAAGCAGGTGTGACAACAACAAACAATATCAGCAATGATGTCGGGCAAAATGTACTGGCCAGGGTTTTCATTGGACACACTCAAATCTTGAACAGCCACTCTCTTACAGATAGATTCATTCCACTCTCACTCTACGCCATCAAACACACTGTCCCAGCCTTGGAAACAAGACTGACTCATCTAGATCCTTTTCAACTTAAATAATCTTTCTATCCTGCCTGTTCTCGAACATTCGACACACGTAATTCCGGATTTTCTCAACTATGGCATGCATCCGCCAATTTGCGTGTTATTCTCGAATTCTTCGTACATCACACTTCGAACTCGATTCCTTTCACCCGAACTCAAGCACATAATTTATTTATAGTATCTAACCTCATTTCACATGTGAACATTTATTAACAAGATGAAAATTACTCATTAGAAGTCACACTCTGGCATCATGACGGACCCCATGAACATACTTCAAAAAATTGCAGCAGATAAACTGTAAGAATATGGTAGACATAATTTGGAAGTCCCACTTCACTACCTTCACCTGGATCTATATACCAGGCCATCATAGAGCTTAATGCATGTGAAAGAAAACATGAAGAGAGCTGGTACATTTAATGCTGTATGAACTGGGCTAATGGATGAGTCTCTAATGCTAAGCTAGATTACATAATTTAGGAGCAAACCACACCTATGGCCTATAACTAACTATCAACAGCCTTTAGAGGTATCTTAGGTTGGCTGCTGCCTCACAGCACTGAACTTACCAGGAAATGCCAAATGTGCAGTGACATTCACAACATACCACTCAACAAAGAAGAAGTGGTGAGTAATACAACAGCTGTGACCAGACTAGCGAAAGTTTCAAGTATTACTCACTTTCTTTCAGGTGATGTCCCTTTCTGTCGCCTGCCTCTTGGGTACTCTAATAAGATCATCAACACCCCCATAATACTGATCTTTAGTTAAGTTATTTTTAGACAATTTGCCATTTTCTCACCCACAAAAACATGCTGAGATACAATGAGTGTCCTGTGTCTGTTAACATTACATTGTTTGTCTGTCAGTTGTGCATGTTGACAGACATGATGATACAGTCATGTACGTATGTATGTATGTATGTATATGTGAGTGAATACATGTGTGTGTGTGTGTACAAGTAGGTGTGTGTGTTTAGGTGTGTGTGATATGATATACAGTTACATATTTAATTTATATATACAGGTGTGTGTATGTGATGATATACAGTCATGTATGTAGCTATATTGGTGTGTGTGTGATGATATAGTCATGTATGTAGCTATACTGGTGTGTGTGTGATAATACAGTCATGTAAGTATCTATATTGGTGTGTGTGCTAATAGTCATGTAGGTTTATGGATGTGTGTGTGTGTGTGTGTGTGTGTGTGTGATAATACACTCATATAAGTATCTATATTGGTGTGTGTGCTAATAGTCATGTAGGTATATGGATGTGTGTGTGTGTGTGATAATACAGTCATGTATGTAACTATATTGGTTTGTGTGCTAATAGTCATGTAGGGATGTGTGTGTGTGTGTGTGATAATACAGTCATGTATGTAACTATATTGGTATGTGTGCTAATAGTCATGTAGGTATATAGGTGTGTGTGTGTGTGTGTGTGTGATAATACAGTCATGTAAGTATCTATATAGGTATGTGTGCTAATAGTCATGTATGTAACTATATTGGTATGTGTGATAATAGTCATGTAGGTATATGGATGTGTGTGTGATAATACAGTCATGTATGTAACTATATTGGTATGTGTGATAATAGTCATGTAGGTATATGGGTGTGTGTGTGATAATACAGTCATGTATGTAGCTATATTGGTGTGTGTGATAATACAGTCATGTATGTAGCTATATTGGTGTGTGTGATAATACAGTCATGTATGTAACTATATTGGTATGTGTGATAATAGTCATGTAGGTATATGGGTGTGTGTGTGATAATACAGTCATGTATGTAGCTATATTGGTGTGTGTGATAATACAGTCATGTAGGTATATGGGTGTGGGTGTGGGTGTGTGTGTGATAATACAGTCATGTAGGTATATGGGTGTGGGTGTGGGTGTGTGTGTGATAATACAGTCATGTATGTAGCTATATTGGTGTGTGTGATAATAGTCATGTAGCTATATTGGTGTGTGTGATAATACAGTCATGTAGGTATATGGGTGTGTGTGTGTGTGTGTGTGTGTGTGTGTGTGATAATACAGTCATGTATGTAGCTATATTGGTGTGTGTGATAATAGTCATGTAGGTATATGGGTGTGGGTGTGTGTGTGTGTGTGATAATACAGTCATTATGTAGCTATATTGGTGTGTGTGATAATAGTCATGTAGGTATATGGGTATGTGTGATAATAGTCATGTAGGTATTTGGGTGTGTGTATGTGTGATAATAGAGTCATGTATGTAGCTATATTGGTATGTGTGATAATAGTCATGTAGGTATTTGGGTGTGTGTGTGTGTGTGATAATACAGTCATGTATGTAACTATATTGGTATGTGTGATAATAGTCATGTAGGTATATGGGTGTGGGTGTGTGTGTGTGTGTGTGTGTATGATAATACAGTCATGTATGTAGCTATATTGGTATGTGTGATAATAGTAATGTAGGTATATGGGTGTGGGTGTGTGTGTGTGATAATAGTCATGTAGGTATATGGGTGTGTGTGTGTGATAATAGAGTCATGTATGTAGCTATATTGGTGTGTGTGATGATAGTCATGTAGGTATATGGGTGTGTGTGTGATAATAGAGTCATGTATGTAGCTATATTGGTGTGTGTGATGATAGTCGTGTAGGTATTTGGGTGTGTGTGTGTGATAATACAGTCATGTATGTAGCTATATTGGTGTGTGTGATAATAGTCATGTAGGTATATGGGTGTGTGTGATAATACAGTCATGTATCTAAGTATATGGGTGTGTGTGTGTGATGATATAATCATGTATGTATATGGGTCTGTGTGATAATACAGTCATGTATGTAGCTATATTGGTGTGTGTGATAATAGTCATATAGGTATATGGGTGTGTGTGTGTGTGTGTGTGATAATACAGTCATGTATCTAAGTATATGGGTGTGTGTGTGAGTGTGTGTGATGACAGCATCATGTATGTATGATATGGAGAAGTTTGTGTGTGTGATCATGTAAGTCATGTATGTACATGTGTGTTTGTGTGTGTGATGATATAGTCATGTATGTATGTACATGTGTGTGTGTGTGTGTGGGATGATATAGTCATGTATGTATGTACATGTGTGTGTGTGTGTAATGATATAGTCATGTATGTATATGGGTGTGTGTGATGGTATAGTCATGTATGTATATGGGTGTGTGTGATGATATAGTCATGTATGTATATGGGTGGGTGAGTGTGTGTGTGTGTGTGATGATAAAGTTATGAATGTATATGGATGTCAGTGTTTGTGTTTGATATATAGTCATGTATGTAAGTGTGGGTGATGATATAGTCATGTTTGTATATGGGTGTGTGTGATGATATAGTCATGTATGTATATGGGTGGGTGGGTGTGTGTGATGATATAGTCATGTGTGTATGTATATGGGTGTGTCTGATGATATAGTCATGTATGTATGAGTGGGTGTGTGTGTGTGTGTGTGTGATGATATAGTCATGTGTGTATGTATATGGGTGAGTGTGTGTTATGATATACACTTATGTATGCATGTATATATGTGTGTATGTGTGTGTGATTTTACATTCATTATAAATGTGTGTTATTATTTGCAGTCATGTATGTATGTGTGTGTGTGTAATGACATAAAGTCATGAATGTGTGTGTGATGATATACAGTCTTCTTCTTCTTCCTCTTCTTCGCATTCACCAACTGTAAACTCTGGTGGAAAGTTCTGGCTGTTCATCCACATTTGGTCTGTTGTCCTGTTCCAGAACTTGAGTGTTGCGTGTGCATCGGTTTTACAGATCTGACTCATTTGTATGCAGACTGCTGGTTCCTTGCCTCTCAGGCAGATGCATTCCGACTTCGAAGGAAGCTCCCAGTTAGTCAACTTTTACAACATGCTTTAGGGTAGGCAGTGGTCTATTCTTGTTTGCCCTATAATAGGGCCCCGGAACCCACATGGGAAAGAAATATGGCCACCTACTGTGTTTGTGTGTGTGAGTGAGAGAGTGCTGTGTCTGTGTGTGTGAGTGAGAGAGTGCTGTGTCTGTGTGTGTGAGTGAGAGAGTGATTATATACAGTCATAAATGTATGTGTATAATGATATTCAGTCATGTATGTATTATGTATGTGTAACCTGTCTGTTGGTGTAAATCTGTTGATGATAGTCATTATGTTTTATGTATGCGTTTTATGATACCGAGTCATGTAAGTATGTGTGCGTATGTAATGATTTACAGTCATGTATGTAAGTATGTGGTCTGATGTTATAGTCACCTATGAATGTATGTAAGTATGTATGCATTACGTGTGTGTGTGTGTGTGTGTGTGTGTGTGTGTGTGTGTGTGTGTGTGTGTGTGATATACAGTCATGTATTATGTAATGTGTGTGTGATGATATACAGGTATGTATGTCTATGCTGTGTGTGTGTGTGTAGGTTGGTGTGTGCGATAGTCATGTATGAGTGTGTTTGATGATATAGTTACGTATGTATATGGGTGAGTGTGTGTTGCGATACAGTCATGTATGTATGTATATGTGTGTGTGTGTGTGAGATGATGACGAAGACTTTGTATTTATGTAGGTAGGTAGGTCAGTCGGTATGTAGGTATGGATGGATGTATGTATATATGTCTGTATGAATGTATGTGTGCATGCATGAAATGTATGTAAGTATGTTTATGTAGGATATATGGGATGCATACAAGATTACAAAATAAACATAATAATATGAGAAGAAAAACACAGCGGGGCCCTCGTCGACAAATGTTTCAGCCCATTAAACTTCTAGACAATTTCAGAGGCTCACCGACCTGGGTCATGACTCTTAGGCCTCGGACTCCTCTACTTCATTTACCAGACATCGGACAAGATGAAATGGTGGCGACAGGTATTTTGAGGTTTGGAATTATGTATCTGTCACTGTGGTAGAAAATTAGCCGCCTATCTTTCAAGACCAGAGTGACAAGAGGATGGCTGGTTCATCAGACAGACTTTAGACTTTGGCAATAGGCAGAGAGACACCGTCAGACGTTACTTGGACACTTTAGTTTTTAGGAAGGTAAAGTTCTTTTCCACTAGGGGCTCGGACCAGTCTACCAAGACCCATCCCCATGACATTTCACTGATTCCACAGCCAGCTTGAAGCTCTTTCAGCAGCTTTACCCAGTTAATTTTGCTCTTTTCCTCACAAGCCCAGATGCTTTAGTACATTGTATGTGGAAGTTTAGACCAGCCCTCTTGCGCCTATCTTGACTTGTATGACACGCTAAGCTCTATCGGGATGAGCTGGGCTTTTTTCACCAACGCCGGCAACCCTATCTAATATAATCTGCATGGCCACAATGAAAAGTTTCTGAGAAAACTTACAATCCACTGCTATCCCAACTTGGAGCTCAGTCCATCTCGTAGTAAACGTGGGGGTAGAGAAGCTAGTGGCAAACTTTGACAAATATTGCTAGACTATTTTGATGATCTGTGTCGGTTAGTGGAACATGCAAAGGACCTGACACTACCGCTCCATTGGCATTAGCAAGGTCCAACCATATCACAGGTTCTCTCTGCCTTAGTTTTCTTAATTAATTCCCAGATCATCGTCTCATGCCCTAGACACCGGGAATGCCTGAGATGCCACCTCTGCGCCGTTATGTCAATGTATCTGTTTTGCATAAGATACTGTGTAAGCCTGCTCTCCATCACTGAGAAGAATATTTTGTCCTCAAACTTCAACAGCGAGATGGGCCTGAATTGGGATAGACTGGTGGAGTCTCACTCACGATGAATGTAAACTCAATACACTAGATACTCAAAAGATATAAAAGATACACATGTAGAAAATATACACAAGATATACAAGACATACAAAATATACACAATTTACACAATATATTTACAAGATATACACATTTTACACAAAATATATACAAGACACAAAATATAAACAAGGTATACACAAGATATACACAACACATATACAAGATATACACAATCTATAAACAAGATATAGAAGACAGATACAAGATGTATACACAAGATTTAAACAAGATTTTCACAATTTTACACTAAGACATTCACAAAATATACAGAAGGTATGTACAAGATATACAAGAAACACACAATTTAAACAAAATAAACACAAGATATACAAAATATATACAAGGTATATATCATCATCATCAGGCGCCTTGCCGACTGGCATGGGCGATCATGCCTCTCCACAATCTGTGATCTCCTGCAGCATGTATCAGTTCGTGTGCCGACACACCTCCGTGCCATGCAACAAGACTGTCAAGAATTTTCTCTTGTTGTCTTTTTCTATCCCTCCTTCCACAGATCTTTCCAGTGGTCACAACATGTTCTATTTTCCCTCTTCTCATAACATGGCAGAAAAATGTTGACTGTCTCCTTTTGATGTCTGTGATAAGTTGTCTTCTGGTTCCCACCTCTTTCAAAACATCTTAGCTGCTCTTTTTGGATGTCAGTATTGTAAGCATTCTTCTGTAAAAACACCTCTGAGGCCTCAAGAAATTGTTTGGCCTGCCTACCTATTGTCCAGGATTCACAGCTATTTAATAAAACTGGATGTATGTAGCAAGCAAGAATTCTTTTTCTAACTCTCAATGATAAGGATATATTGCACAAGCTGTTCTTCATTTTATAAAATGCAGTTTTTGCCTTTCCTATTCTGTTTCTGATCTCAGTTATGCATCTTCCATCTGATGTTATCCATGTGCCCAGATACTTACAAGATATATAAAAGCGATATACAAGATATAGAATTCATAAAAGATATACACAAGATTCACATAAAATATACATAGGATATATACAAGATATACACAAGAGATACAAGATACACACAAAATATACAAGATAACAATAAATATACAATATAAGATATACACAATGATATACAAGACATACACAAACTATACACAAGATATAGAAGATAGAGACAAGAATATATATACAATTTATTCACGAAAAATACAAGATTTGCACAAGATATACATAAGATGTGCACGAGACATTCACAAGATTTGCAAAGATATAAAAGATACATAGTACATACACAAAATATATACAAGGTTTATAATATATACAAAACAAATATGAGATATACACAAGGCACACAAGATAGACATAAGATATACAAAACATACATACACCAATCTGCCAATAAAACATGTCTTGATACATGGAATAAACACCAACCTGCCATTAACACATGTCTGAATACATGGAATAAACACCAATCTGCCAATAAAACATGTCTGGATACATGGAATAAACACCAATCTGCCACTAACACATGTCTGAATACATGGAATAAACACCAATCTGCCAATAAAACATGTCTGGATACATGGAATAAACACCAACCTGCCAAAGCTCAAACTGACCACTGACTGCTAGGATTCCTCCCATAATGACGACTGTGGAGCAGACAAAAAAAAAACATGGTTACAGCAGAACTACCAATGTGAATACTCATGGACAGAAAACAGAATGACAACCTAACTGTCAGGTTACAACATAACTGTCAGGTTACAGTGTAGCTGTTAGGTGACAACAGAACTGGGTCAGTCAGAGAATAAACACACTTTACCACAACTAAGTCAATCAGAGAATAAACACACTTTACCACAACTAAGTCAGTCATAGAATAAACACACTTTACAACAACTAAGTCAGTCAGATAATAAACACACTTTACCACAACTAAGTCAGTCAGAGAATAAACACACTTTACCACAACTAAGTCAGTCAGAGAATAAGCACACTTTACCACAACTAAGTCAGTCAGACAACAAACACACTTTACTACAACTAAGTAATTTAAAGAATAAATAAACTTTACCACACCTCTGTCATACAGAGAATAAACACACTTTACCACAACTACTGAGAGAATAAACACACTTCACCACAACTAAGCCAATGAGAGAATAAACACACTTTACCACAACTAAACCAATGAGAGAATAAACACACTTTAACACAACTAAGTCAATGAGAGAATAAACACACTTTACCACAACTAAGTCAATGAGAGAATAAACACACTTCACCACAACTAAGCCAATGAGAGAATAAACACACTTTAACACAACTAAACCAATGAGAGAATAAACACACTTTAACACAACTAAGTCAATGAGAAAATAAACACACTTTACCACAACTAAGTCAATGAGAGAATAAACACACTTCACCACAACTAAGCCAATGAGAGAATAAACACACTTTACCACAACTAAGCCAATGAGAGAATAAACACACTTTACCACAACTAAGTCAATGAGAGAATAAACACACTTTACCACAACTAAGCCAATGAGAGAATAAACACACTTTACCACAACTAAGTCAATGAGAGAATAAACACACTTTACCACAACTAAGCCAATGAGAGAATAAACACACTTCACCACAACTAAGCCAATGAGAGAATAAACACACTTTACCACAACTAAACCAATGAGAGAATAAACACACTTTACCACAACTGCTTGCTATAGCATTTTCATTTGCCCACCTGGCCCACTCAATCTTCCCCATGGCAATGATGATGCATAAGCTTCCCCTGAAATATACACATGGATTTATATATAAGTATGTGTGTGTAAATTAAATAATATTTTGTTCTGTGTGTGTGTGTGTGTGTGTGTGTGCCTGCCTGCATGCACCAAAAAGAAATATTATTTTGTTCCATGTGTATGTGTGTTTTAACTAGAGAAACATTATACTGGTAAAAAGTGCAAAAGGGAATGAGGTAGGGGTGCATTCTCTCCCCACACTTTTCAAAATTTATGTATGCAGAAAACATAGTAAGAAATGTAAAAAAAATGCCCAGACTTGTGACTGTTATGATCCGCTCGTAATTGGCTGCAATCCCTTTTCCAAAACTGTGCTATATAGATGACACAATCCTCCTTTCAAACAGTCTAAAAAGAATATTTAATCATGTTTGTCCAAAAACACAGCGAAGATTAAAACATGTTCTTCAAATTCAAGAAAAAAAAATTGTCACAGACAAAATTTGTCACCCAAAATTATCTGGTCTCAAATCCAGATCTGACAATAATATATGTTATAGCCTCAAACCTACACCTTACAATAATAACTGGTCTCAAACCTACATACTAAAACAATATTAAATCTCAAATCTACACAATGCAACAATATTTGATTTTAAAGTAATTTATAAAACAACAAAATCTGATCTCAAACCTACATACTAAAACAATGACTGGTCTCAAACATACATACTACAATATGTGATCTCAAACCTACAGACTGCAACAATATCTGGTCTGAAACCTACACAATACAGCAATATCTGGTCTCAAACTTACATACTGCAGCAGTATCTGGTCTGGTCTCAAACCTACATATTTAAAAATACCTAGATACTACAATAATATCTGTTCTTAAACCTACCCACTATAGCAATATCTGGTCTCAAACCTACAAACTGCAACAAATTTTGATTTCAAAAATACATACTAAAACATTATCTGATCTCAAAGCTATATACTACAACAATATCCTGTATTAAACTGACATACTACAAAAAAATAATGGTCTGAGAAATATACAATACAGCAATTTCTGATCTCAAACCTACATACTACAACAATATCTAATCTCAAACCTACATCTTAAATCAAAATCTAGTCTCAAATATACAAACTACTATGATATCTGGTCTTAAATCTACATGCTACAACAATATTTTACCTCAAACCTATATACAACAATATCTGGTCTCAAACCTACATGCTACAATAATATCGGGTCTCAAACCTACACACTACAACAATTTCTGGCTCAAACCTACATTCTATAAACAAACAAATGAAAGAAAAAAGAAACTTTATTTTCAGAGGGTTACAAACTGGGCACGTAGGCCCGTCTTACATTTGGCCCTTCCAAGCACTCCTCTTTCAGACTGCAATTGCATGTTATGATTACATATAAAAACATACATAATGAAATAATGCATACACACATCATGTTTACACAATAATACCTACTCTGAATATACATGTACACATATAGTCTTTTATACCCATACGTACAGTCACAAGCACACCCATGCATATACATACATACACACACACTCATACATACACTCATATGTATACATAACTGCACTTATGCTCTTACATTCAAACACACACATGCACTCAAATTCATACACACACATGTACAATCACCCTCATTACCCATATGCACTCATACATACACATCCCCACACACATGCACTATCATGCATGCAAAGACAGATTTACATTCACACAAACACCCTCACACTCTTATATCCACATACATACACTCATGCATTCAAACACATCCACACATACCCACATGTGAATTAATATACAAACTTACATTGACATTCACACAAACCACAAACATTAATACATATAGGCACTCATACATACATGAAAACCTATATATACACAGAAGTGCCTTATCATACACACACAAACACCTATACATCCTTGAACACCTTTAGATACCCATAAAATCTCATACATACACAAACACATAATCATACACAATCACTCATGCATAAAAAACACCCATACATACACTAGCATCTAATCATATGCAAAAACCCACATAGTCACAGCCACCCCCACATACTCACACAATCCCATACATACACATATACTGCTACATATTCAAGAACTTTTTCATACAGTCACCCAAAAAACATATACATACACTATCACCCATACATACACTAACACCCATACATCTTATCATACACTATAACACATAAATACACAATTTAACATACACACACAATCTCCCATACATACACAATCTCCCATACATACACAATCACCCATACATTTATATTCACCCATGCGTACACAATCACCCATACATTTATATTCACCCATGCGTACACAATCACCCATACATTATCATACACCCTTGAATATCCATGTGCATGTACAAACACAAATACCCAGACACATACAATCTTCTACATATCCATTCATGCACAAACACTAGTACACACTCTCATACATACAAGAACACCTACAACAATACCTAGTTTCAAACCTACATACTACAACAATATCTGATCTCAAACCTACATACTACAGTAATATCTCATCTCAAACATAGATACAACAATGATATATGGTCTGAAACTTACATACTTCAACACTATTAAATGTTGAATTAAGAATCAACATCAGAGCACTCAGCACACTCCCATAAGCGCCCTGTGCCTATCTTCAGCAGCAAGTGAAGAGTTACTATGCTGATGGCATGAGTAACTATCTGATTGCCTCTCCCTTGACTGTTGAGCGTCAGCCAGATTCCCTGGTAACTACCCACAATTCTCATGAGACCAGAATCCTCTTCTTCTTTCGTTCGCTTAAATAGATTATCTATATCTGCAATGTTGTCTCTAATATGAACTTCACTGTCTTTTGTAATTTACTCAGCAACCCATAAAGTTCTTTTAGTCTTTGTGGTGGCATCCTGATTTTTACAGTGCGCCTCAGACTTGAGCAACGCAATGATCTATTTGAGCCTCCACACTGTTCACTTGCTTGCAAAGGGCTCCACAACATCTAGCTTGTCATACATATGTTCACCAGCAAGTGATGCAGAACCGGCTAGTCTGTCTGCCTACTCATTTTCCAACACACTGGAATATCCTGGAGAAAATATCCAAAAGATGCTAACTACCCTGGACCTCTGAAGTGATGCTTGCCACACACCTGGAGAAAATATCCAAAGAATGCTAATGACCCTAGACCTTTCAAGTGATGCTTCCCACTCTGCACTGGGCATGCCTGTCTCCACCTTTCTCTACATGCTCTGTGAGTTAGTTACAATCACAGCATGTGTACAGCTGATTCTAAAGCCAGCCGAAAGTAGCAGCGACTGCTTCCACCTAAATTCTCAAATTAGACATTGTGATATTGTATGCCAGGCTTTGTTGCACTCAGCAACGTCCATTTGCTTTTGCTATAAACCTCCATGCACTTCGTCTGCCCCTCAACAAAGAGCTATCTATATAGATAATCGCATCACCGGGGCAGGAATTGTCATGAATCATTTTTTTGAACTTCTGATTCTAAAGAACCAGCTGGAAAGTCTATGCACTCATGACGTAAAGTGATAAGAACCCTTCACAAGTCTGAAAATTGCTGAGACACTGTGACTCACTTCTCACCCAAATTTATCAAGCCTACACATGTCTAAATGTGTTTTTAGCGTTATCCAGGACCTTCCTCTTTTTAGTTTGTGACCCTTAGCTCTACCCATGGCTTCATGCAGGAGGTACTTCTTGTATGCAACTACTCTAAGATATGACTTTGCCTGCAGAACTTTGAGCCTATTTGCAATAGTAGGCAGTGCAAGTCTATATCACATACATACTACCAGGGTATCTCTTATAAATTCAAGAATTACCCGCATGGCTTCATCTTGTATGCATTTGAGTTTAAACAGCTAAGTCTTTCATATGGTAAAGATTCCAAGTCCATAATTTTTCACCTGCAGGATCACATGCTGGAACATTGTGAACAGAATTCTGTTCAATGTCCATTGCTGCCATAATCTTTAGAGCATTGAGTCCTTTTTGGCATTTCACCATAACTGCCTCCACATGATCCCTATAGGATAAGTTTCTATGGAAAGTGGGCTATCCTCCGAATAACGGTCCCAAATTATCGAGGCCAGAAATATACCCTTACAGAGTCTCATTACGTCATCGTTTTAGCAGCATCCACAGCTTCCCAACTGTTTGCGTGTGAACATCACTGTCTGCGCTGTTGACGAAGTTAGTATCATGCACTACCGTCGCGTGATCGTAAATGCCATTTTTTAATCTGCCAATGTTAAAATGGAGGAAGCTGCAGGAGAAGCTGTAGCTGCTGCTCATGATACCCAACCATCTAGTTTAGCCCCTTCCATGCCGCGCGTAGCGGAGTGAGGAATACTCTCAGACGGGTCTAATATTGCGTTTTGTGAAATTTTCGTCCACATTAATTCTACTTTTGTCGCAGTTTATTCACCGAAAAAAATGAATTTATATCGACGGAAAAAATCCGAAATTTACATATGGCTGGGGCTCTGTTACGGTATATTTCCGGCCTCGATAATTTGGGACCGTTATTCAGAGGATAGCCCGAAAGTGATACCCTCAGTTTGTTTTCTCTTTTGTTATTAATTGTGAGGCTTGGAACATCAGCTCTTACAATTATATTTTCAAGAGAGGACTACAAAACAGCCACCTTTTCTGAGTTGATGACAGCTCCCATTATTGCACACCAGTCAGTCACTTTGTCTACAGTTGCCTGCAGCTCTTGGGCTATCCGTTGTCTATCATTTCCTTGCAATTCAACATTCAACAACCATTCAACCTCCTTCCACTGGACAACAATTGACATTCAGCTAGCTGGGAAACCTCCATCAGAGAGCAGCTAGATAGCAACAATACATTAATATAAAATGCTTCAAATATCCAACCTTCCACTAGACAACAGTTGACAGTGCGCTAGCTGGGATGGCAAAGAATT